AAAAATTAGAAAAACTGCACCATTCAAAATAGCCTCAAAAAATATAAAATACTTGGGGATMAATCTAAGAAAAGAGGTGAAAGACCTCTAAAATGAAAACTAAGGAACACCAAAGAAGGAAATTGAAGAAGATCTTAGAAGGTGAAAAGATCTCCTATGCTCTTAGATAGGCAGAGTTAATATTGTCAAAATGTCCATACTACYAAAAGTGTTATGCAGATTTAATGCAATCCCTCTTAAAATCCCAATGACATTTTTATAGAATTAGAAAAAACAATTGTGAAATTCATTTGGAAAAATAAGAGACCCATAATAGCCAAAGCAATCCTTAGCAAAAAAAAAAAAAAAAAAGTAAAACAGGAGGCATCACAATACCAGACCTTAAACTATACTACAGAGAAATAAAAACAAAAACAGCATTATACTGGCACCAAAACAGACATGTAGACCAATAGTACAGAATAGAAGACCAGAGACCAACCCGCATTAATACATTTATCTCATACTACACAAAGGCATCAAAAACATACATTGGAGAAAATATAGCCTCTTCAACAAATGGTGCTTGGAAGACTGGAAATTCAAATGTAGCAAAATGAAATTAAGCCTCTATCTTTCACCACGCACAAAACTTAACTCAAAGTAAATCAAGGACCTAGGAATTAGACCAGAGACCCTGCCCCTAACAGAAGAAAAAGTAGGCCCAAATCTTCATTACATTGGATTAGGCCCCGACTTCCTTAACAAGACCCCTAAAGCACAAGAAATAAAATCAAGAATCAATAAATGGGATGGATTCAAACCAAAAAGCTTCTCCTTAGCAAAAGAAACAATCATTGAGGTGAAGAGAGAACCTATAGTATGGGAGCAAATTTTTACCACATGCACATTAGATAGAGTACTAATCTCCAAGATATATATAAATACTCAAAAACTCACAACAACAACCAAAAAACTAACCTAATCAATAAATGGGTTAAGGAACTGAACAGGCACATCTCAGAAGAAGATATACAAGTGATCAACAAACACATGAAAAAGTGTTCAACATCTTCAGTAATTAGAGAAATGCAAATTAAAACTAAGATTTCATCTCACCTCAGTCACAATGGCAGTTACCATGAATACAAGCAATAAGAAGTGCTGGAGAGGATGTAGGGAAAAAGGTTCACTCATATATTGCTGGTGGGAGTACAAATTGGTGAAACCATTTTGGAAAGTAGTGTGGAGATTTCTCAGAAAACTTGGAATAAAACTACCATTTTATCCAGCTATCCCACCCCTCAGGGTATAAACTATAGCATACTATAGCATACTATAGTGACATGGCCACACCAATGTTTATAGCAGCTGAATTCATAATAGCTAGACTGTGGAACCAACCTAGATGCCCATCAAAAGATGAATGGATAAAGAAACTGGTATATTTCACAATGGAATATTGTTCAGCATTAAAACAGAATAAAATTGTGGCATTTACAGGTAAATAGATGGAACTGGAWAATATAATGTTAAGTGAAATAAGCCAATCCCCCCAAACTAAAGGCCACATGTTTTCTCATCTATGATGGTGGGGTCTGGGAAAAATGGAGGAACTTTGGATTGGGCAAAAGGGAGGGGAAGAGGGGCTATGTGGGTAGGAAAGATGGTAAAATGAGATGGATATCATTATGGGGTACATGTATGATTGCATGAATGGTGTGTCTTTATACCATATACAGCCAGAGAACTGAAATGTTGCACTCCATTTGTGTATGATGAATTGAAATACATTCTGCTGTGCATACAATTATGTAGAACAAATAAAAATAGTAATAAGAAGTTAAAAAATTAAAAGCTCGTTAATAAAATTTGATACAATTTCTGTCTTGGAAATGTGGTAAATGTACTTATGGCTAGCTACCAAGTATTTTTGGCATCAGCGAAATGTTCTTAGAAGTGACTTGTCCTGATGAATGTTATTTCCAAAAATGTCAGTGATTGTTGCTTACCTACATTCCTGATTAACAGGCTTTCCATCTTCAAAACAACTAACTTTGCTGTGATTTCATATTGTTTTGGTTTATATGTGAGGTGTCCCCTGAAATCTCACATGTAGAAAATGCAAGAAGGTTCAGAGAAGAAATGATTGGGTTGTGAGAGCTTTAACACAATCAGTGATTTAACCCTCTAGYAGGGATTAACTAAGTGGTAATTAAAGTGGTAGGGTATGGCTTGAGAAGGTGGGAATTGATGTGAGGCTTTGGTGTATATATTTGAGTCTGGCCATTGGAGTCTCTCTTTTCTTCCTGATGATGTGAACTATTTCCCTCTGCCACACTCTTCCACTATGATGTTCTGCCATACCTCAAACCCCTGAGGAATAGAGCCAGCCTTCTATGGATAAAAACCTCTGCAACCATGAGCCCTCAAATAAACTTTTCCTCCTCTACAGTTGTTCTGGTTGGGTTCTTTAGTCACAGCAGCAAAAAAAGCTAACTAAAATACATACACTATAAAAGTCTGAACTTTTGCTAAATTGCCCAGGCCAGCCTCAAATTCATTGGTTCAAGCAATCCTCCTGCCTCAGCCTTCCAAGCAGCCATGACTACAGGAATGTACCACTGTGCCTTGATCATTAAATTTTTAATTAAACATTAGTTGTGGGTAATAGCAAATGAACACTTTTCTAATTATACTGGACACTTTATACACATATATTTTTATGATGCTATTTTGTGTGTGTGTGAAGAGAAAACTTGCTTTAAATCACATTAGTTCATGACACTGTGTTTATGAAGGTTTCAAAGGTCTAGATAGAAAAGATCCTCTAATTATAGACATTTAAAATGTTCTACTGAGGGTGAAGAATAAATTCTTGTATACAATTATAAGTGAAGGGTATAGTTCCGTTTAGCAGAACTTGAGAATGTACTCTGAAACTTACTTTCTAGGCCATAACACTATGAAATAAAATGTTCCACTTACCTAAATTTGTCAGAAGCAGTGCAACCTTTTCATAGAGCTGTAAAATAAATTTTATACATTTAATAAATGAACTGTACATGTTCTAAAATCTATAATTATAAAGGAAAAAGATTATCAAGTTATGAGTGAGAATAATTTTACTATTATTTACCATTCATTGCTTAAACAATGAAAACATTGTGAACAATTGTGCTTTTCCTGGGCGAGTCAGAAATGTGTAAGGTTCTACTTTACTAAATTTTAAAAATCTCACTTCTTATTTTGGGATGAAATCCTGTGGCAATGAGACTAGCTGCCACCTAACTCCCAGCTTCCTAGGTGAGTCTCAGCATACTGAATGTAAACTCTGTAAGACTGCTTTTGATGGTAAGATTCTGTAATTTGGTTATTTATGGAATACTGTAAATTCTAGATTACAGTATTCAGACATGCTGAAKCGATCAATAAAATTGGATATTCCCAGAGTTTAGGGTACTCTGCTCTTCCATTTGTATACTAGATATACCCTGAGCTCACCCAATCATCTGATAGATGGTCCTAAGAGTGAACTGAAGGTGTATGTGTGTGTGTGTGTGTGTACGCGCGCGCACGTGCATGCACATGCATGCACGCAGAAAGTATAGTTTAGGGCAAATTCAGTTGTAGGAGATTCACCAGAGAGGGTATGAATTAAATGGAAGAGTAAGTGTTCTCTCTAAAAAGAAAGATGATAAATGAAAAATAAAAGGAAAACTAGTCTAATGGATTTGAACAACATGAAAATTAAAACCATATTTAGATTAAAGTTGTTAAAGCACACTGGTTACAATTTCCCAGGCTGGTATTACAACTTTACCACCCAGTAAGCTGTAGGACTTGGACATGTTACCACATTTCTTCAAACCACTGTTTCCCTTACATTTAAGTGGCATTTAAGTGGGATAGGAATTGAATTGACTTTCAGATTCTTCTTAATTTCTAAATTTTCATATGTGAGATTTCTGCTAACTACAGAAACAGGCATAAAATTGGGAGTTTTTTACTCCAACTTTCAGCAATGACCATTTATTATAGTAAGGTTTATGGTTTTCTGTATTGTAATGTAACTAATATGACAATAAGATCAAATTTTATATAGAAACCTCAGTCTCTTGGGTCCCAATGTTAAAAGAGATTGGTATAATTTTCAGTAAGAAGCTCTGCGGTATAGATTGGTCATACTTGCTAGATCAAAACAATAAAATTTTTATAAATGACAAATTAGAACAGATGCTTTAAAATCAAACATTTTAGTATCTCAAAGGCATTGTACTATTAAAATTGCTTAATTGTATAATTATCAAGGAACATTAGATTTGACTGGTGAGGCAACTTAAAAAAAAAACAATTCCCAATTCCTAGTTTATCGTTTTTCTTTTTCCTATTGACATATACTTGTCAAAGTGGGTCAATGTGCATATTTGTCTCAAAGGTCTTGATAGCTGATAATATGCCTTTGTGATATGAGTATGAACATTGGAAAATAAAAATGTAAAAAAGGAATAACACACAAATCAACATTTGAAAAATAAGGTCAAGTATACAGGAACACAGTAGGGACCCATAGCATTTGTGAGCACCTTATACATTTGTTGAAGATACAAACTAAAGGATAGTGAAACGTTTGGCARGATATGGTAAAACATTCACAGAGAGGCTCGTGGCCAATAAGGGATCTTCAAATGAGTAGTTTATGGAAAAGGCTTGATTTATCACTAAGCAGGTGAGATAGAAGCCATGGATGGTTGATTCTGATAAAAGCCACAGAAAAATCTTAGTTTTGAAACTTGATTCAACAAATGCTTTCATTTTCCTCTTGCTGAATTAAATCCCCTTTATCATTATATAATGACCTTTGGGTTCTCTTTATTACTTTAAATTTAAAGTCTATTTTATCTTATATAAATATAGCTACTCTTACTTTGGATTCCACTTGCATGAGATATCTTTTTCCATCACTCCATGTTTAGGCTGAGCATCCTCAGAGATAAAGTGAGTTTCTTGTAAGCAACATATGGTTGGGTCTTGTTCTTTCCTATACCTTCAGTCACTCTATGCATTTTAATCAGAAAAAATTAATCCATTTACATTTAAGGTAAATGTGAAGTAAGGTCTTACTTAAGTCACTTTGACTTTAGCAACTTAGCAAAATTCTGTCTCAAAAAAAAAAAAAAAAGGTCTGGGGCTGGGATTCAATCCCTAGTACTAATAATGATGAATGACAACAACAGTCTGATTGTTATAGCTATAACTAACAAAAAGCTTTCCGACCTTAAGGATATGTCTAAAGTTATGAGCACTTCTAATTTGAAGCATTTTTAATTTGAGCTTGTTTGCCTGAGCAGTGTATGTGAGCTTGTCCTGATCTAAGCCATATTTGGGGATTTCCTTTTTTTTTTTTTTTTTTTTTTTGCAACAAGACATTGTAGTTTTTCACTGTCTACAATATAATGAAAAAAGTGATTCGCATTGATATGACTGAATAAAAAGCACATTAATAACTTCTAGTTTTCTCCTGAGATGTAGTCCATGTTGGTCTATTTGTCTGACAACCACCATATTGAGACATTCTTTGGTCACTAGTGAAGCAGAATGAAACAGTACGATAAGGAGGAAGAAATTCCATCCTAGTCAYTCTATCTTTGAAATATTTATTTTTTCATGATATAAAAAAGTGCAAACCAGTAAATATCCCTTAGTTAAGAGGCATAAAATTGTATAAGAAATTCAGAAAGCTTTTGTAAAATAGTACGGATTTTATTTTTAAAGCACATACAAGTACATACAAATAATCAGATCCAGAAAATAGATGTCTCAATACAGATTTGCTTTTTCATTTAGAATTGGACAAATTCAACAAGAAGTCAGAAACAGAGTATATGATTTAAAATTATTATAATGTTTTAAAATTACAGTCTTTAATGAATATTAATAAAACACTAATCTAATCTCAAGGTTTTTATAATTACTTAATGGATTAGTATTAATAATGAACATCTAAATGCTGATTTTTTTTGAAAGACTATACTGGGACATTAAAATGTYTTATATTGAGTTATTTCAGAAGCCAATGAAGATTTTAATTCTGATCTGTTCAAAGCCACATTATAGTCATTAGTATGCCATCCAATATGCAGATATTTGCTTTCTAAGGATTTAAATTTTTTGATATTCTGATGAAAATTCTTCCAAACTTTATTATGCATGTGGTTACCTTCATAATGGAATTTGGAAGTGCATATGATAGGAGTGTAAATGTGTGTGCTGGGGTGGAGATTTAGAGAGGGTCAAGGTGGATCAGGCAATTGGCCTCTGCACAAAAGGGTACTAGCTGATGCTGCTTTTAGAGTTCTGATATATGCTTTCTCTGTCTTTCTTCTCTTTGTTATGGCTTATCATTTCCTGCTAGCATCACTATTCTTGAYGTAGTCATTTTATGTCATTCCAGTTTGACATTGGCTAGGAAATCAGAATACCAAAAGTGTTTACATTGTACCTAAAATTGATGAAAATATACCCTAAGGGGATTCCTAAGAATAATATGTTTTAGTTTCAGTGTGTGGACTCAACCTCATCTTGGCCATTCTGAAACTTTGTTAGGTAAAATAAATTGAATGCATARTAGCCTAGCTTTCAGTGTGTATTGGTGCTTTGTAATGTCAGCAACTAAATACTTTAATCACCTCTTATGCCCTCTTATGTTAATTTCCTTTTGTCTTGGTTGTGTCTCTTGACATAAAGATTGCTGGGTCAATGGTTTCCCCATAATAGAGATACTGCTTTGACTACGTTGAAACACGCTCAATATGCACAGGGGCAAGATATTTATAGACCCACTGTGTGTATACAGAAGTTTATTTCATAAGAAGATGCATAAATTAAATTATAATGATGATCCAAGGCTTTATCCCTATTAAGCATGTACTCTATCACTGAGCTACAATCCCACCCCAAAATTAGATTTTAATAAGATAYTGGAGTAAAGAGATGATAAAAATACAATAAGTATTATTTCATTTCATCCTACCTGAGCCCAGAAACTTTCAGTGGTCTGGCTGTTTAGTTAATTTTACTATGAGTTACTCTCCTTCATAACATGTATTCCTTAGTTAATATGGAGACTGAGTTGTATGTTGGAGGCAGGGTTAGAATATCAGAGCTGCCAAAATCTACTTTCAATCTCCACTTGACCAAGCAGTCACACAATCATCCTGTCAAAATAATCAGCAATTGTCTCTATTTTCTTTTTTAAAACAACTTCCGATTTGAAGTTTTGTTTTCTGAAATAAAGAAGTTTCCACACATTTCAATACTACTAGTAATGAGTTACCTGTATTTCACCAGCTCARTAATTACTATTAAAGTTCTTTATTATTGGATGCATAGGGTTCTCTTAAGAATCATTCAAGGTTTATTGCTTAAGGAATTTAGGAGTGTTTAAAGAGATAGAGYTGGGCATGGTGGTACACGCCTATAATCCCAACAGCTCCGGAGGCTGAGACAAGAGAATGGCGAGTTCAAARCCAGCCTCAGCAAMAGTGAGGCGCTAAGYAGCTCAGTGARACCCTGTCTCTAAATAAAATACAAAATAGGGMTGGGGATGTGGCTCAGTGGTCAAATGCCCCTGATTTCAATCCCTGGTACCAAACAAACAAACAAAAAACTAGACATGGCAATAYTCATAGGTATAATTGTATTGATAATAGTTTTAAATTACTTGGGTTTTAGAAAGTTCAAGTCCTTTTCTAAAAATGTGAGTATTTCAGCACTATGGCCCAGACTTAAATGCAATATAAATGAAGATGGAGGAAGCTATAATTAATTGAACATCTGCTCCATATCTAATATGGTGCTAAGCATATGTATGGTGTCATTTATTCTCTATTACAAACCTCCAAGGTCAGTATTTTTGTATGTAGTTGGCCTCAAAGTCTGACAATGTCAGCTATTACCTTTTATTCTGCAAATAATAACAGCAATTTGCTGAATGTCTACTGTTATGGTTTGGTTCTTTAGTGTCCCCTGAAAAGCTTATGTGTTAGGCTATGCAGGCATGTAAGAGATGAAATAATTAGATTATAAAAGACATAACCCTAATCAGTAGATTAATCCATTGGATTAATTAATAATTTGAAAGGACAATGGGTAGTAACTGTAGGAAAGTGAGGAAAGTGGGGTGTGAGATAGATAGATAGAGAGAGGAGAGAGAGAGAGAGAGAGAGAGAGAGAGAGAGAGAGAGAGAGAGAAAGAATATTTTAATATTTATTTTTTACTCTTCAGCGGACACAACATCCCTGTTTATGTGTGATGCTGAGAATCGAACCTGGGCCGCACGCATGCCAGGCGAGCGCGCCACCGCTTGAGCCACATCCCCAGCCCTAAGCTGAGAAGCTTTTCTCCACCATGCCCTTCTGCTATGATGTTCTCCCTCATCCTCAGGCTCAGAGCAATGGAGTCCGTCAATTATGGACTGAAACCTCTGAAACCATAATCTCTGTGTTGTTCTCMTCAGGTAATTTGGTCACAGCAATGAAAAGCTGACTAACACACACCTACTAGGTATCAGCCCCTATTGCAAGTACTATGGAATACCAACAGTAAAAGTCAAAATGGAGAAATGGTTCTGCCATGATAGACCTACATTATTCCAATGGAGAAGACAGACAACAAACAAAATGAAGAAAATACACATAGTGCGTGGTGGAAAATGCTATGGAGAAAAAATAAAGAGGCAAAACATATGAAATTGTCAGATGACAGGAGTTGGAAGTTTAAATAGAAGGAAGCCTTTATTAAAGAGGTAATATTTGAACACAGATCTGAAGGAAGTGAGGGAGTAAGTTAAGCAAACCCTAGGGAAGGGGGTGTTCCAGGCAGAGAACAGCAAGGAAAAGTCCTGGGGTGACAGTATGCCTGGCTAGAGCAGGTGAATCAGGATGAGGTGGGAGGAGATCARAGATGTCCCAGGGGCCAGAGGAGGGAGAACCTGAAAGGCCACCACGTGAATTTTTACCCTCAGGGAGAGGGGAGCCACTGGACCTCRTGAACAGAGGGGAGACGTGAGCTGATGTATTTGTAAGATGGTCTCCCCGGCTTAGTGTTGGGCCTAGATTGAGGGGAGCCAACCTGCAGGCTGAAGCCCCATTAGGAAGCCACTGAARTAATCCAGGAAGGAGCCAGGCTGGGAGTGTGTGCAAGGGGGAGGCTGTGGGAGGAGCYGATTCTGGGAAGAGGGGAGTCCAGTTTTAAAGTGTTGGAGATGGTGGAGTAGAGGCAGTTTGGCCTATGAATTTGGGGCTCAGGGATTGGAGAGAGGTCTGGGTTGAAATGTGCAATTGGTAAGTGTGAAATCATCCTGATTTTTTCTTTGCAGGGTGATCTCAGGAAATGTTTTAGATACTAACTACCTTCTCAATCATCAAAATAAAAAAGAAGCAGAAACTAATACCGCTGAGCTATGACACAGGTCTGATGTGGGTATTCTAAATGCATTCCTTCTCTAAATTTCCCCAAAGGGAAATCCAGTGTTATCTCAYTGATCAACAAAGAAACTAAAGTTCTGTGAGGTTAAGTACCTGGTCTAATCTTACACTAAGAAAATCCTGAAGCCTAGATTTCAATTAAGCCTTTTAAACCTCCAGATCTGAGAGCATCTTTATGCCAGACATTTTGCTACAGGCCAACAGTGCTACATAACTAACCCATCTTTTTGAGACCAGGTCTCTTTAGCAACTGAAAACTATCATTGCAACCCACCTATTTTGACCCATGAGATTAGTTACCTTGCGGTTGACTTACCACGTTCAGTAACATAATGATACAAAAATTGATGCAAACGGCAGTCCCTGTGGTTGCAACCTGAGAGTTATTCCTGATTAACGCCCACTTAAAGGCAGCAAAAGTGCTGACAGTCACCACCCGGTAAATGACAATTCCGAATACAGCAGCGATCACCACACAGATCTGGCAGGAAGACAGAGGAGATTCAGTGAGCCCTTTGGTGGAATGTTTCGGGAAGGCGATTCATACTCTTGGAAAATTCTCTGATTTAAAAAAAAAAAAAAGAAAAAGAAAAAGAAAAAGAAAGAAAGAGAAATAAAGCAAGGGTGATACTGATTGAAGGGAAATGCCTACTTTTTATTGTGGTTTATACTTTCTCTTTTCTGTATTTTTTTCCTTCCCTACTAAATAGAAAAACCACATGGCTTGACAGTTGAGGATTTCTATAAGCTGTGGGATTTTTTTTTTAAAGCAGAATATCTAATGGAGCAGACCAATAAGTATTTATTACGAAAATCATCTCATGCGTCCATTTACAATTGTTTATTTGTTCTCTATTATTGTAGGATTAAAAAAAAAGGCATTTACTGTGGCCTGCAAGATTCCCTCCAGCCCCACAGGACACCATTGTCCCTGCTYTCTGGGAATCCCATACCCTTTTCTCTTTGCTTCAAATGAGCTAAGCACCACTAATCTTYAAGACTATTTTCTTTGCCTACAATGCCTACCCACCCATCTCCTGCCAGACATTTATGCACTTTGGTGCACACACATGTACGTGGCCTAGTTAACACCTACTCATCTTTCTTCACATCTCAACTCAGACACCATTTCACCAATATGTGTTTTCATTGCTCTTATATGGTACCTATAGTATATGGGCATATCTTCTTTCAGGATACTACTTAAAATTTCTACCACTATCTGTCTGATTATTGTCCATCTCCCCTACATGAGCTCTGGAGGCCAAGGACAGTATTTGCTCACCACAGTTTCTGCAGGACCTTGACTTAATTGCAGGTGCCTAGATCATGCTATTATTTGTTGTTGAATAAATCAACCACGTGAAAGGAACACATTTTACTAATCAGATGTACACACAGATTGAAGCATCTTTCTCTGCAGATTTTGTGGTATTTGAGAACAATATGGCATATTTTTTTCTTCCATAAAATAATGGATATCTGAGACTCCAAAAAGTTTGGACTTTCATTAGGACTCCCTAATCTATTTTAGAGAACTTAGCTCACTTAATTGCCAAAGCTGGACTTTAAAGCCAGTCCTCGGGGTGGCCTCTCCCAATTTGGAAATTCCTTTCTTCATAGTCTGTTTTGCACAAACTTGATTTTCTGCTCACTTCTAAGAGTGCCAAATTCTAAAACTTGAGTATAAGTCCTGGGTAGAACTGACCAAAATAATAATATAATTCAACAAGGCAAAAACCTGCCCACATCTTAATTCTAGAGTTATCCATAGGGAGCCAGGTGAAATCTACACTGACGGTTGGCCTACTGGACTTAGGATCAGAGGACAAAGCAGAGCGCTGGCTCAGCTATTTCCCAGCAGTGTGACCTTGGCACAATTGTCCTCTCCATGGTTTCCATCTTCTGGGCTTCAGGCCCCCCATCYGTAGAGCAGGAAAGCTGAATCTATGTCTTTAGATCATAAGTGGGAAACAAGATAATAACTATGAATGTGTGTGTAGAAGACAAAGCAGGGCACAATTGCTTGCAAAGCAGTGTCTATAAAAGGGTTTGAGTTTTCATCATGAGAGCTGAGGACCTAGACAACCAGCCTCACCATTCATCTCTCTACTCTCTTCACTGGCACCAGGTGGGTAGGTGTCTGGATTTGCAGTAGTCTTGTCCTTCCCACCCTAGGGGTCTAGGACATATATTGAAATACTTGTCATTTGAAAAGAGAGAAAATGAGGCTCCTAATCAATCATCCTTTGTTATTCTAAAATGTCCTTTCTGACTTGTGTGTTTTGTTTAGCAATTAATGGTGTCAAAATTGATTACAAAACAGCTAGYTTTCAGAAAAAGCTAATGACTCAGGTCAAAGTTAATATTTTTCAAACTGATGTGACCATAGTGAGTTGGGAAGGCAATTTTAGGAGGTTATATCTGGCATTAAAAATAGACTATAATAAAAAAAATCAGTGTTTATTACATATTATAAAGGTGAACATTTTTTAGTTATTATTAAGTTTTATAAATCTATCTGCATAGTATATACAGGTTTATGACACAGTATGGATTTCCTACTGGGTGGTCAAGGCAAAAGTTTAAAAAACACTGCTCTTGGGCTGGGGTTGTAGCTCAGTGGTAGAACACTTGCCTCACATGCATGAGGCACTGGATTTGATCCTCAGCACCATATAAAAATAAATAAATGTTTTTAAAAACGCCACTATTAATTCTATCTCACATTTTTAATTCCTTTTAGCAGGRCATAGGGGAACATGACAAGTGGAAAGAACATCAGATTAGAGTGGGGGTTATAAGCTCTTAGCTACTTACTGGTGGGCCCCGAGCAAGCCCTTTAAACTTTTGGAGTCTCAGTTGATCCATCTGTAGAATGGAAATAGCAATACTATCTCTGACCACCTAATGGAGTTGTAAGGATTAAGTAACATGATGTGTAATACTGTTTTGTATTACTATACCTAACTATCAAGTGCCTAAAATTGATTATTGTTGTTACTGTACCACAGGTCTGTGCTCTATAAAAMAAATTAAAGAGTTTTTTAAAAAAAWTTTTTCAAACCATAAAAAATATCCCCGATGCAGAAACAATAAGTCTGCTGCATTTATCGGCAAATGCTTGATAAGGTTCTGGCTTTCCTGAAATGGGATTCATCCGTTCCTTCTTGGAATACTTGGCTTCAAACTGCGGTCGTATTTCTTCCTGAGGAATGAACAGACACATTTTTATGCACTGAAGAGGTGCTCACATAATAAGAAAAAAAAAAAAAAGATTCCTTTACCCCCACTGTAAAACAGCAGCTGCCACACTAATCAGCAACCAATGAAGTGGGTTGGCAATCTAGGCTTAAATGCTTAAAAATTGGCTACTTGAAGAATACCTATAGGATTTAAATCAAGATTTACTGTTATCAAAAGCAATGTAATTTAGACCAACAGTAATGTTTTTCTGTCATCTTATTAAACTATGATTGAAGAAAGAAGCTGAGAATAATATTTTAAAAGGGACTATCTGTCCTGTGTGTTGTGGTTTGAAACAATCAATAAGCTTTTACTTTTATTACATGAACACCAAGACAAAAAGGGTTCTGAACAGAAAGATGTTCAAAAACCAATTTTGTGAGGTATCATAACAAAATAATTGTTAGTTTTCTCCAATTATTTTTTTTTTCACATTTTTAGACCGAGGTGGCTAAAAACATGTGTGCCTACTTTTTAATACTCTCACAGAAGTTATTCACCTTTAACCAATGGATTTTTAAATACATTCTTAATTGTTACTGAAAATTAGGAAACACCTTTCCAATCAAGCTGAAATCAAGGCTTCTCCAGTTCTTAATCAAGCTGAGATTTTGTTTCATTTAGCTGAGCTCCATCCAAATGTTGACTGAAAAGCAATTATGGAACTAGAAAAAAGGTAATTGGCAGGTGGGTACATTGGAGTGGTTCTGGTTAATTAAGTACATGTTCTAGTTGAGTGCCTTGGAAAACGATGGAAAATGAGTGGAAACTGGTGAAATGGAGATAGGAGTTCATCCAGGGAGGAAGACGGAGGACTCAGATGAAGATCCTGAGAGAAAGCAATAAGGAGTTGACAGAAGACAGGCTCTGAGAACAGGTGACAGTGTGTATAGGGTCCCTGTGCAGGAGATGAAGTTATAAAAAGAGTTTACTCTCTCACTGATTTCAGGCAGTTACACTTGGGGATATAAACATACCTAGAATCCTCTGCTTCATTGGGAAACACTTTCAATTCATTAGGCTGTAAGGGCTGTCAAGAGCCTTGGGCCAGTCATCCAAGAACTGAAGCCAATCATGGATCCAGGCCTGTGTTCCTCKGTGTTATGGGCTGAATTGTGTCTTTCCCCACAGCYACCAAAGTCACATATTGAAGTCAGCCTTCAGTACCTCAGAATGTGACTTTATTTGGAGTTGGMATCTTTAATTAAGTTAAAATAAGGTCATTAGCATGGGCCTTAATCAAATATAATTTGTATCCTTATAATTATGAAGAGAATAATTATACGCATTGGATATTTTACCCATTTGGATATTGGATACACACATGCACAGAGGGAAGATGATGTGTAGGCCCAGAGAGAAGATGGCCATGTACAAGCCAAAGAGAGAGGTAGAGATCATTTCCTTCCCTCAGGGCCCTCAGAAGAAAGCACCCATGCTGACCTTATCTCAGACTTCCAGCCTCAGGGTTCATGAGCAAATAAATTCCTACAGGTTGTCACCCAGCCTGTGGCACTTTGTTATGGCAACCTTCATGAACCAATATTCTTGGCTCCTCCTAAAGAAGAATGCAGTGATCATGTCTGAGATTTTCTATATTGTGAAATGAGAGCCACGGGCTAGAAGTAAGAGGAATTTCCACAATGAATCCTAAACTGAGAACTACAACAGCCCATGACCATGAAGGTAGGCAGGCTCCTGAAAGAAGAAAGTATGCTAAGTGAAAGCTAACTGAAAGACTGATTCAGTGTTCCAAGCTTTTTACCAGGGACTGGAAGGCAGGAGGCTCCGGACTTACTCTGGATATATGTACTATAAATCCACCCACATCTTGGGCCTACCACAAGTACCCATGATGACTTTAGACTGGTTTGGTTAAGGCTACTTAAAATAGTGCCATACTTTATGGCTGAAAGGGGAAAATCTAGGAACACCTTCTTTTTTTTTTTTTTTTAGAAATGAAAAAGTGTTCAAAGGTGAGCAGTGGCTTAGTGTGACTTAAATGTGGGAAAAAATGTTCCATCCCATTGGGAATTGTACCCATGTACATATATAACCCCAAACAGCAGAATGGCCCACCCTGGAGCAAGTCCTGAATGCAGTCTAGCTGCTGCCTGTCAACTCCTTAGTTTGTCTGGGCACCTTCTTCAAACCCAGATAATTATTTTCTGGAGAATATTTATAAAAAACATAAAAGGAGGCCTTATCAGAAGAATAAGGATTAATGAAAATTTCATATCATATATCAAAACACCATGTTGTACATCTTAAAAATAGAGGACAAAATCAAAACCAAAACCAAACCAAATAAAAAACTACCTAAGCACATTCATGTGATTGGTAGCTATTCATGAGGCATGAATTGAAGGACAACCCCCACCCTGCAAAAGTCTCCCCAAATTATATCACCACCAAGCCTACCACAGGACTAATATTCTAATCATTGATATTTCTAGAAGATTCATTTTAATATGCAAAAATGCATATACATATCTCTGGGAAWAAAAACATCCATTCAACAGCTTTTAGCATATTATGTAATTAATTTATCTGACTCACAGGTACAGCAAAGCTCTGATGAAATGGGACTGAGAACAGGAAAAAGATAATGATGAGGGGAGGGAAAGAGGTGTTGAAGCCTCCATCAACTGTCCAGGGAAAGCTGTGCCCAATGCATGAATGTAGTAATCAAGCCCAGCATGAACAGGGCAGAAAAGAGGATCAGAACCAGTCAGAGTTAGGAAAGAGCACAGCATAATGGCCTAGATGGCGGTGAGAAAGACTGATGGGTTAGGGAGCTGCCACTGTCTGGCTGGGCACAGAATCACGAGCCACCACACACCTTGTAGATTCAAACAGCAATTCTTTATTCCCGAACTCACACAGGCCCTCTACAAACACATTCTGGGGAAATCCAAGTTCTGCCGCAAAATTCACGTACTCCACCAGGCTTTGAATCCCCAATACTTTCTGAATCCCAGGAGAACTCAACGGGAACTCAGGCAGCAGGATACGCCCTATTCCCAGCAGGAATAACCTTAAACCTGGAACCGCCCTAAACCCAGATTGTCCTAAACCTAACGCCCTAAACCCAAGGAGCAGGATACTCCCTAAAAGCTGATCCGCCCTAATCCAGTAGGATCCTCCTTAAACCCGGATCCACCCTGGTCCTTGAGCAGGGTCACCTTTCTCAAGCATACATGCAATGTCACAGCGAAATGTCYATTGAGTCCTTCCTCTAAGCAACATGGGGCAAGGAAATTTCGCTGGTCATTCCTACTTGGCAATGGCTCTCAGCAGGGAGCATGGTGAGGAAGTGAAGTCTGATGCATCTGCAGCTGGCCCTACACTTAGCCACGTTCACCAAGGAGGCTGCAAAGGAGTGGTTTCTCCTAATCCTTTGCCATTTGATATAATCCAGAGTACTGTTCTGCCTAGCTGGGTAGAAACACCTCCTTGGAATAGTTCTCTTTTGAGGTTTGTTTCCACATGCCAAGAGCTATAAAATGAATAAATGCCTTCTACTAAAGTAAAGAAAATGGGTAATATTTAACACTATTAAAAAAAAAATCTGGTACCTCTCTACCTATAAGTGAAATGCTTCACTATTCATGGAATTTTAATCTATTATGGAACCAAAATGTTGTCTTWAAAAAATTCTGCCAGACCCTTTTTATATAGCTTGAGACTTCCTGTAAAAATAGGTATGGAGGGTGAGTGGACATGACTTCAGTCACCCAGTGAAGAGGGAAGATTCAAGGGGGCGGGGAGGGTGGTGTTGTTTCTCAGTGATTTGCTTTTTTAAAAAAGAAATTTTGAGGTAAATTATACAAACCTCCTCTTCTTCCCAGTCTATCAAATCCCAGTCRTAAGCGATTACTGCTCGACGTCTTTTCCAAAATTCCAGGAAAACTGTTGCTGAAACAACCAGAAAAAGACAMAGAGATATTCAAAAAAAGTAAAATGATATTATCAACCATGTCACTGGATAATGAAGCCATTGCAAAGGATGACAGTTGTTTGTGTATCAGAATTTCTTGCTAAACTTCATTTAAACAAGAACCGTTTTCTGGAAATTACTAAGCTTGTATAAAACATAATGAAAAATTTAGAGATTTCATTTAGAATTAAATTAAGCTGGTTTGCAAGTTGAGGCAAAATAGACTCATTTAAAATGACAGAACTCCTGGGATATAAGTATACAGAAAACTTGGTTATCAACATCTTTCCAGCTGATAGAGCATTTTTAAAAATTTATCTATTAATTTATTTTTAAAATTATATTTGCTTTTAACTGGCACATAGAAACTTAAAAATGTACATGTTAATGAGATAATAAAATATTTTGATCCATGTATAAGTTGCATAATGTTTAAATCAGGTTACACACATCTTCCACCTGAAAGGCTTTGGTAAACTCTTTCAAAATACCTTCTTCTGGTTTTATTTCAAAGGTGGCCTAAAGAGGTTAAATATCCAAATGCTGCAATGAGCATAGCACATTGTAACTATTCACCATCACCATCAGAAGACAGAAAGAATAATAAGACATCTTCAGGGGAAAAGCTATCTGTGAACATTGTAAATCATGTGCAAAGAAACTGAGATGTAGTATGGTTTTGAAAAATTGATAGTTATCTGACTACAGGAGTCTATTTATGCTCCAGTACCAAGTTAAGTACTATTTTTTAAAAATATTTTTAAATATATGGTGGGATATACTTCCGTTAATATTACTTTCTTGTTTATTTATTTTTTTTCTAGTAAGAGCATTTGTTTTTAAAAGTGAAGAGGAGACAGGGTCAGAAAAACAAAAACAAAACTTAGCAGTTCTCATGAATTTGATTGGCAGTGATTTTCTGTCCTTTAAATCTCCTTCACAGCAAATATTCATATATGAAAATATATTTTTAGTATGYATTTAAATATACATTAATACATATGAATATATTTATATTTAATGTAAGTATTCTTTTCATATCCTAAGTGAAATTAAAATGCTTRAAGAACATGCAGACATATTTTATGGCTTATCCATCAGTGCCAGTTAAATAAGTACTGATAATATCAAAGTTTGAAACTCACTATGCTTTTCTTTTGTCTTGCAGTAAAAGCATGATTCTGTTCTAACTACCACTTTCTTTCTTTGATTGCATGGACTCTTCAGTTGACATTACCAACTGTCTTCTAAGAGCTATTTTTGCCTTTTTCCACAGTGAAAGAATTGTGGCATAAAGCCTGGCTGCCCAACTGAACTGTATTTCTCTGTCACTTTTGTAGTTAGATGTGGACAAAGGACAGTTCTCACCAGTACAATATGAACAGAAGTGATGAGGTATGTACTGCTCACCTGTTGACTTTTTAAGGCACTTAGGAATGATTTTTCCACATTCTTTTCCCCCTTTTGGATGGGTGGAGCCCAGATGATCCAGTGAGATCATGTAAGTGATGACCAGATCTAAGAGTCTAGCAAAAAACTCTTTTGTAGGAACACAAGTCCTTGGATGACCATATGGAGCTGGGTTGTCCACCAGCCTAGAATACTCACCTTAGACTTTTAAATAAGAAAGAAATTACTTTTGAATTTTTAATCTACTGATGATATTATATCTTTGTGTTAGAGTAGCCTGATCTTATCTTAATTAATATAGACACTTAGTCATAGAGAAAAGAATTTTCACTTGGTCACTTAGAAGCCACAGTGAAGGCACAAAGATAGAGCAACCTGTATTTCACTTTCYTTACAGATCTTAGAACAATCTCAAGTCACAGTATTTAAAACTTTAATAATTTCACTTATAAGACAGTTTTGCATACTTTTTCCTCCCCCTTTTCTATCTTCATCTCTACCCTGTGTTATTACCTAATCTTCTCATCAACAAGGTTCACCTGAGGTGTTAATGTCAATCCCAAATAGCAATCCTCTTATAACTTTCGTTGACACATTGGGAGAATCTAAGCCTTCTGCCCTCTAAATATGGGTGGGATCAAAAGTAGTATTCAGGTACACTGGCATTTAAATACAGTATTTCCCCTCTTATCTTCAGGCATGTACATTCTAAGACCCTCAGGTAGATGCCTAAACTTACAGTTACTACCAAACCCTCTATATGTTATGCTTTTTCCTATTTGTTCTTATTATAGATATAGCAACCTAGGTATGCATTTTTTCCTTATTAAGAATTTTTACCTTTTCACTAAAAGGAAGCATTTTATAGCATCTCTTTGGCTTATCCAAATTGTGCACAACACTRCTCTTTCAGTTTGGCTTATTATGAAGCACCATCATTTAGTAAAACATGACAGCTGATYTGATGATGGAGATGGCTTCTCAGCGACTAACAGGCCATTGGGTAACAGATGAGTAGCACATACATAGTGGAGATGCTAGACTGGATGATTCATATCCTGGGTGARATGAAGATGGACTGTGCAAGATTTCATCCAGTTACTCAGGACAGTATCCAATTTAAAACTTATGATTTGTTTATATCTGAACATTTCCATTTAATATTTTTGGACATGGCGGACTGTAGGTAACTCAAATAATGGAAAGGAAAAATACAGATAAAAGACTACTGTACCATGGCACTCTTGGCTCAGAATCATACACAACTGAGAACATTGTCCCATATAGTTCATAAGGGACACAAAAGGAACATGACATAGAATGTGCAGCAAGTCACAGTCTAATTATTTTCTTAAACAGAACAATCATTGTCAGCTTCAAATAAATTTGTAGTAAACTGTTATGCATTTACTAAAACCATTTCTTATTCTCTTAAACATAGTTAGATTATATTTTCTACCATTTATTGCAATTAGACACGGCCATCATCCATATTTTGTCAATGAAAAGTGAGCAGAAATGATGGTTGCCATTTTTGGACTAAAGAATTAAGAAGTAGGTATATCTTCTTTGAGCTCCCTTTCTCATTTTGCTGGGTGAATAGAGAGAACCTGAGTATTCGAAAGAGGATGGAACCACAAAATGGAAGAAACCTATCCATTCATATGAATGGACATATGGGAAATTGCCTTCCAACCAAAGCCATCTTATTGGATTCTACTGAATGCCAGCTATTGGGATTTGTGTATTATAGCAGTTTCTACTTTACTCATCCTAATAATGCGGATTTCTCTTCAAAAAAACATAACCTTGGTTAACGTACTGCAAATAGAAAGGAAAAAAAAAACCCCACTCCACTGAGTTACTATCTTTCATCATCTCATTAAAGTATTTAGAGAAAAACTCCCTCTCAGATAATATCCTAAATTCCATGGCAGGCTTTAAATGCTGTACTTCTTAATTATCATCACACGGGTAGAGAAGACAGAGCTGGAATTTGGTACTGATTTGCCTCAGTTTTAACTACAAGGCTACACTGTAATCTAGGAACTCAATTTTTCATCCAAATGAGAAGAGCCAAAAAGGATGAAGAAAGCCTATTTTTCTAACCACCTGGGGGCACTTTGCTGAAACTAATTATAAATATGAAAGGATTATGTCCCACCGTTGTAGGTTCAATGTGTGAGCCTGGCATTTACTCTCTACCCTTCCTTCCAWCTGTAATCTTCTTGCAGGAGCCCTGGAAGAGCCCACACTTACTCTAAAGCTGCTGGAAAACACAATGCTACCAATTTTTGCCTACTGGYAACATAATAGGTTTCAAAAAGCTTAATTTGATGCTTTAAAATGCTTTAAAATGCTTACTCTGGAAATCTAGATGAGAATAACGTCTAATTCTAGAAAATAATTGCAAAGGCAGTTTTTTCTCATTTTTGARAAATTAAGAAGCTTTAAGGTCCCGAGGTCTAACTTTACCCCTTCTTATCAAAAGATTATGTTTCATTTGTTTGTATGAAAGTAAGAATCGAGTCTTGGCCAGTAATAAAGTGGGCAGTAAATATGGAAGAAAAAGCATGATTTTTATTTCAGAATGATGACCTACCATCTGATGACTCAAGCATTTTCAGAAACTGGCAAAGATGATTCTCTTATTTACTAAGAAAGCGGAATGACTTGGTTCACATATATAATCATTTTTCTACCAATACTAATTTCCTTTTACAAAAAAATGAAATTAGCAATATTAGCAGATTTCATTTTTTTCCAGCCATATATATATTTTACTTTCTGAAAATGAGCATTTGGAAACAAGGGAGTTATAATGATGGGCTCTCCAAAACACAGAAATAGAGGGATGAGGTTAAAACCTGAGAGCTTGACTTATAAAACCTACTAAAAATGAATGAGCTTAGCTGAGAGTCATAAATTCAAAGCTAATAGGCCCAGATAGTACAAAACTGAAAAGAAAAAGCCCCACCATAGGGTGTGGTGTAGATTGGAACGGATGAGAGGTCTGTGCATCATGTACAATGGTGGGCACATTCCTCTGTTCTCATTGAATATACTATGAAAAGATCATCCAGTTTTTCAAAAGACTCCATAAAAAATGCATCTTAAGGTGAACCATCAACAACAACAACAAAAAATAACAGTTTATTCAGATATTTTTAAAATCGGTGGGGGCCAAACAGTATTTTTAAAGGTTGCTAATTTACAACATCTGAGATAGGCCATGGGCACTAATAATGAAAATGAATGTAAATGAATGACTGGAGGGTTTGTGGAACACTGAAGAGTGTGAAAATGAGGACATTTCAGGGAGCAGGAAGGCCAGGGACCTTAGTGTATTTTAAGAGATGAAACTTAATCACTGATATTGCAACACTTTCAGGAGAGTCAGTGTTCTAMATGAGAATGGCCAAATCAGGGCTTAGAATGAACATCTATAAATACAAGTTTGACAGTTTTATCTAGTATAAGGAATTAGAAGGATATCCTGACATGAATCCAGTCTCTCGGGGTTGTTCTATGTAATGTGGTAAAAAAGACTGATTAATCAAGCARAAAG